ACATAGACAGCGAAATACTGATTAGCGATTCTAGACAAGTATGTTGAGGCAAACATAGACAGCGAAATACTGATTAGCGATTCTAGACAAGTATGTTGAGGCAAACATAGACAGCGAAATACTGATTAGCGATTCTACACAAGCATGTTGAGACAAACATAAACAGCAGAATACTGATTGGAGAATTTTGGGAATCTCTTCCTTTATCAGTACAATTTAATTGTTTAAAAGTTTAATTACTTATTTATCAATGGTTCAATAAGTGGTTAAATTAACCCTTATTTATCTAGAATTACGGTTTAGGTATTTTCTTTAAACTTTAAACTTCACTTCCAACAAATGTTGCACTCTCTTTGACCATAAATTAACCTTAAGGTTATAGAAAGTACATAATAGTAGTAAAGATTAGCTTTATTTTTTTAATGACGAAAGGATTCTTATGTCTCTATACCTTGTTGTGTCATAAATTTTAAATCGATTTCTTCAAGTACAATATCTGAATTCCTCGTTTTGTGAAGTCTTATTGGAAACTATTAATTGGTCTTTTCGGCTACATTATGGTAGCTCGTTGACGTTTACCTCCACATAATACTCTGTTGAATGCTCGTCTAAAGTCCGGACTGAAGATCGTATAAATAATGGGATTTAACATCGAATTTGTGTATCCCAGCCATTGCGACATGCTGAATATTTTCTCGTTTGGTTCACACGAACTACAGATTGGCATAATTACGGCTAATACAAAAAACGGCAGCCAACAAACAATAAAAACACCTGTGATTATAGCTAGAGTTTTCGCTGCTTTCTTCTCACGTTTTGCTTCGATATCTTTTAGCTGTTTGCCACGATCCTTTTTCTGGGAGGATCCCAGGTCTCTATTTTCAACAACGGAGCAAGATGTTTGAGGCGGATCTGAATTTGTACAGGTTAAAGTGTTTGGAATTGTCGAGAGCTCAGCAGATTCCTCGCCTCGTTTTTTCTCAGTAACCGGTGTATTTTTACCAGGTTTATTGCGGATTCTCCTACGAGCCTCCTGATATATTCGCCAATAAAGCACGAGAATGGCAACCAAAGGTACATAAAAAGAAGAAAAAGTGGCAAAAATCTGGTATGCGACATCCTGGCTTATCAAACATTTTTGTTGATAAAAAATGCGTTCTTCAAAATTAGGATCCTTCCATCCAAATATTGGAGCGACAGAAATAACAAGAGCAATGACCCAAACCAAGAAAATCATGATACTAATGTCCCGAACGTTCCTCTGTCGAACATAATCAATGCGTGTGACAGCTCGATACCTATCAACTGCTATGGCTAACAAGTGGAGTATCGACGCAGTACAGCAGAGCACATCACATGATGTCCACATGTCGCACAGTACTGGACCTAATGGCCACTTTTCTTCAACTTCATACATAGCACTTAACGGCATAACCAAACAAGCAACCATTAAGTCCGCTACGGCCAGGGACAAGATCAAGTAATTTCCAACTCTGCGTAGGTTTCTGTCAAGCAAAATGGAAGATATGACAAAAATATTACCCACGACAGTAAAGAGGATGAGAAGACTTAACAATGAAGAAAGAGATACAACAAGTACCATATTACGTCTCAGATCAAAAATCTGGTTTGTGATGAAGTCTGAGATATTGTCAGTAAGGTTTACAGTGAGAGTGAGGTTGAAAGCATGCAGCTCAGTGTCCTTAAGACTTCTGCTTGTTACATTCTTATACGTAGTTAAAGTCATTGTTGTAGATGATGTTGAGATAACTGAGAATAAAGTTTGGCTACGTATTAATATTTTAAAAAATTCGAAACGAAATTTGTAAATGTTTAAAGAACTATTTAGTTTCACAAGGTCGTGAGTTTGGTGAAAGTCAGTGGATCAGTAAATTGCAAAAAAAAATATTCTGTGAAATCTCTTCTTTCCTCGGCTTTCACGATATGTTTTGTTAAATTTTAAATTCTTGAACCCAAGAATCATTTGCATTGAAATAACTGTGAACATATTTTATCGTAATTGAACGAATGCACTACACAAATTAATAATGATAAACAACTGAAAAATAAAGTAAAAAACATTGGTAGAGTAGTCATTCGTATTAATGTGATATCATAGAGATTCGTAATGGGTAGATATTCCACTGAAAAGGCAGATGTATGAACACAGTCATGATGAGAAATCCTCAGAGTGAACTTTCATATTTTCCACGAGAGGGATTTCGAAAATCCCTGGTGTTTTAGTTCAAATTTATTAAAGCAACGAGCAGTATTGCACTCAATAGAACCCACGATACAATTTATTTACAGTCCTTTGAACCAAACACAGGATATTCTGTGACCTATGTGTTGAAAAATGTCATTATAAATCTTCTGTCTGATAGCTGGGCCTTGAAATGGGAAATAGAGAGGAAGATAAATAACTCATCTGGAACTCAAAACTTCCCAAGTTCCTTATTCAAAATCTACAGGCTTAGCCATGTCTAAATCCACTTTCTTTTATTAAAGTTAGTAGACACTTAAGATGATATATTAGCAAGTGTATCAATATCACTCATTTGATCTGCGATGAAACAATCTTTCGAATTGTCACGATCTGATAATCCACTGGAGATTAAAAGGATCTGGATGATTAAAACAGCAAAGATGTTAGAGAGCTGCTACAGATGTATCCGTTAAAAAACGAGGAAACCTATGTAAAAACGAAACCGATATTCGTCATGAAAAATTGGGTAATAACTCATTTCAAGCAAGTTATTTATAAATGTAATAATAAGCATGTCAAAAAAGTAACAGTGATTATCTGTAGGAACATAAACATTTAGTTATATCAGTATTCTAGATAAAGTATTCAAGCAACAGATTAGATACGTTGTTTAAGACTTATAATGTAGGTTAAAATATTTAATTACATATTCAGAATCACTAAAATTTTGGTATTATTGCAAGCTTTCAGACCTTCAGGGATCTGTACATTTATCACCATAGTCTCGTTCCTTCACGTAATAATTTAGTTATTGTAACCAAGCAACAACATAAGAAACAAATGTCCAAATTACATCTGTTATTATTTGGAGAAACCTTGGAACGCTTTTATGCTAACTACTTATCTTCGGCGAGACCCCCAAGAATAAATATTCTAATGTGAGAAAAACACAAAGTTTATTTCATTGAAAGTTTACTCTATTATTAATATAAATGTAATTCATTGAAAGTTTACACTCTACTATTAATCTAAATCTAATTCATTGAAAGTTTACACTCTACTATTAATCTAAATGTAATTCATTGAAAGTTTACACTCTTCTATTAATCTAAATGTAATTCATTGAAAGTTTACACTCTACTGTTAATTTAAATGTAATTCATTAAAAGTTTACACTCTACTATTAATCTATATGTAAACTGAGTCTATTACTAAAGACTAAATACTTACTACTGCATCCCAACACCAAATACAAATTCCCTAAGTTATGATCTGCCAGCAATAGGCCTCCACTTGTCTTGTATCAGATAAAAGAAATCTCTCACAATAAAACAAAACAAATGAATGGCCGATTTCTTTCTTGACAGAACTCCTAGAAAAAAAAACACACATTCTTTTCCATCACATGATAACTCAAAAACCAAAACAATGATGTCAACCAAATTCACCGAGGTGACATAGTTTCAAACGGATTATCTGCTTTTATATGTATTATTAAATACTAATAGTAATTAAAAAAACACAACATAATTCTAGTGTAAACTATGTTATCATTACCCCTTGATGTTAGCTTTTTTACAGAAATTTGGTGTTCCTTTAAAAAGGGTGAAACAGGAATTATCAGCCAATACTAGATAAACAATAAATATTACAGTTGGAACCTCGTTCTATTTAGAACTTGGTTATAAATACAACCTTACCATGTCTATTGAAACACTGCATTAAAAAACAAGCAAATAAGTAAAGAAAAAAAACATTTCACAAAAGGAAGTAAATGTAGGGATGGCTAATATCAATTCTTCAAAAACAATATAAAAAGACAGTAGAGATGGCATTTGAATCATCCCTAAATAATAGCACAGGCAAGATTTATCAGACACACACACACACACACACATATATATATATATAACCATAGTTTTTCTTGACTTATATTTAGATTTTGTCTGGGTGTAGCTAAGCAGAAAGCTACAAAATGGGGTATCTGTGCTCTGCCCACTACGGGAATCGAAATCCGACTTTTATCGTCATAAGCCTGCAGACATGCTGCTGAGCCACTGGGGGGCCATATATTCAGGAAAAATCATATTTTATTGAAATTTCTGTAACCTGTCACCAGTGGTGTTAAATACAACACACAATTCTCATTGAATATACTACTGTATTGTATTTCACGTTCATTAGACGGTCTGAAATCTTATACAAAGATATACTGAACAGAATTATTTTCTAACTATTTAAGTAGGGAATTTCACAGAAATAATGTTTTAATTAAAAGAATTATAAAGCTATTTCTAGTTGATTGGAATGACATGAAAATTACTTTAAAAAATAAAGCATGACAAGCTACTGAACGGAGATCCAAGGTTCGAGCAACGATGCCGCTGAACACAATCTGTACTTTCAGCTGTGCGTATTCTATAAAAGGGACGGTGCTGATGATTGGCTTTCCTCCTTCTAATCAGCATTTGTATATCAGGGACAGCTATACCTGGCCGTTTAGCCCACGTGAACATAAGATGATGTTCAGGTTGAAAATACCAGTGCCGTCATTGTCTTAGAAAATATATTCCATTAGTTTCTACGATTATAGTTTCTAATAAAACAATAAATATTCCAACAACTAAGGCTCAGCTTAGTTCAGAATACTGTTTAGAATGTATAATACTGAGTATGTTGAATAACTAAGGGAAGACACAAAGGCACAGAGCTCAAAAACTGTAAAATACATTGAATAATAAAGATGTTTGATTTACTGCGAACTGCTATCAGGCATTTATAGCCATTATAGATTATACAAGTTAATGCCAAAAGAAACGAAGAGGTCACATAATGTGTAATCGTTGATTTAATCTAAAATTAAAAGCTACATTCAAGTAATTATGTCAAATTTTCAGTTTCAAATAAAAAACTATAAACGTATGCTTCTTTCGAGTTGTTTTTAATATGTGGAGATTAAGCCGGTTATTCTTTCATTTAACTCCTAATGTTGCAGTCTTGGTTGAAAGGAATTAGTGGGAAGATCTTATGGTAAGTTTAACTTGAAAGTATACGTGTTTAACATAATAACATTAAATCATAAAATACTTTCTTACTAAAAAATATTAACAACTCCAAATATAATAGGTTATGGAACTCTTTATCAATATGACTGAGAAGTAGTCATTGAAGTAGTTCATTGTAATATTTTGTCACCTATTTATTGTCTTTACCCTAACAATTATTTATCTTAATAGTGAACTGTATATTTACATGATTTTTGTAGTTGATAGTCTTTGTAAGAACAGACAAATAGAAGACATAGCAGTTATAACCCAAAACTATAAATATAATATTGTGGTATGCAAGCATATCATGTGTTTGCTAATCTCTGGTATTAACATAGACATTTTTAAGATTGTCCATCTATTTAGAATGTATGCGTTGTTTTCATATAACACGTTGATCAAGAAAATGTTTAAGTTCATTTTGCTCTAGCTGTCTATCCTTCTGTGTCATTCACCTAAGCTATCACCTTTGTCGTCTGACAGAAAAGATTTCTCCAAATGTACACATAATATATTTGAAAGTAGACAGCAACCTTTTCCACTGGCAGGTCAAGCGATATCTAGAGGATACAACCACCGTTATAATCAATGGAAACGACCAACGGTTATGTTTGTAGCGCTAGTCACCCTGGAAGAGTATAATATTATAATTTAAAGTATGTAATCTCAAGTTTTTCCAGACTGGAATAACTTTTCAACTCATACAGATATAAGGAGAGATATGTAAATTTAGCTTCTCTTTTGAGATCTTTCTCCTTCCAGTAAAGATAATTGTCCACCATGTTAAATAAATACATTCACTTCTGTTTGTGTTAGTGAATAAAATAGTGTGTTATTTGTGCTTACACATTTGTGTTCTGTTCCATTCTTTCACAAAATCATGTTCAGAGAATCAAGAATTACTTTATATCTTCTATACACTGTGCCGGCATGGGACTATGGGGAAAAAAAGCCATCCCCAATCCCACCATATAATTTTTAAAATACGATTTTTATCGATAATAAAATTCTTTACAAAACTCAGCTGTGTGAAAATCAATATGTTGAAACCAATAAAAACAATGAAACGAATGTTAAGCACCCAAAAAAATAAATAAATTCATCGAACTAAGCCCATATATGCTCGAACTGGGGAGGCGTAACTAAATAACTACACAATGATAAAATAATTTAAATTTAATAAACAATAATGGAACTTAATCACAATATTAAAACTAAAAATATTTTTTTATGTTTACAGATTAATAATTGACAAACTCAATCAAAATATACAACTCGATTAAAAACAATTTTGGTTTAAGGCATAAAATAAACATACTCATGCAAGAATGTGAAGAAAGAACACCATTC